GACTCAGTTATATAAAAAACAAAAGTACATACTAATGACCAATCATATTTAAATAGGTCAAGTAGTCCATGGTAGGCAAAGGTTGAAGTCTATTGCTTTTTGTACACACAGTTTAGGCTGTATGTGATTAATCCATAGGGCTTCCATCACCTTCAGTAACCTAGAATTAGAGTTATGTGAAATAATTGTAAAAGTCATTAATACTGATTTTGTGACCTGACATTAATAAGTGTTTTGCAATGGATGATGCTGGATTTCTATTCAAATTAATTGTATTTGGATTTTCTATATGTTTTAGTAACCATTTTGGAATACGTTCTTTTTGACGACATTGGAACATTCTATTGGTTCTACCTAGATAGGTATCACCGCAGCTGCAGGTGAACTTGTAGATACAGTTTGAAGTAGAGTTCACAGAATTTCGTCCTTTAATCGTAGGTACAGGGATCGAAAATGTTCGGCATGTGAGAAAAAGAGATGCGGCGTAGAATGTGCGTTTGATGGCTGACCGAAGTCTTTGAGCTGTCAAATGCATAATCTGGTCACCCTTGAATGGTAGGTTAATAAAGATAGCTTTCTTTGGTACAGAAGCTGTCTTTTCGAGATCTGGTTTTTCTTTACTGTGACAAGTGATAAAGTTCTCTGGATAATCACTAGCTAATAAAACTGAACGTATATGTCGAAGCTCATCCATCAATGTGTCACTCGTGCATATTTTTCGGGCCCTTGAGAACAAACATTTCACTAGGGAACGTTTATACTGGATAGGAACAAAAGTAGTAAAATGAAGATATTGTCCACTCCATGTCTGTTTACGAAAAATAGATCGCTCAATCGTTCCATCATCTCTTCTGGTTGTAAAGAAACTACGAAATGATATCATCTGGCGAAATTTGTCTTCTAAAAGCCTTATTCAAATTTATCGAAGGGACTAATTGTTTTAATTTTCTCAAACGAAGGCTCCCCAAAGATACTATAAGACTTCTGAACGGTCTTCTGAATCTGAGATTTAAAATTGTAATTCAGCGTGAACGATTAAGGTTTTATCAAAACTGCATACAAAATAAACATTAACCTACATCGTTTTACAAATCACTACTTAGGAATAAGTCAAAATATTCACTCTCCAACCTTCAGCATCTTGCTGAATTAGAAATTGATGAAATTAATGACAAACTTTCGAAATTTACCGAAACACACCAAAGAGTAATTCCCGTTATGAATAATTTATCTTTAGTATGTCGAATTAAATTCACTGTATTTTCCAATGATATTGTAAAAAAGACCATAAGTTCGACGGAACAAAGTTTAACGAAATCTTTGAAAGACACGAATAATATTTGGGAATTTCCTCAAGATATCAACAAGCATATAATTAATTTATCTGCTTGCACTCTATCCCAACTATAGTTGGAAGCATTACCGTATGGATTGAAATACAAAACTATCCCTATGAAAATAAACAAAATGGAAGTCCAGTCAGCCTTCGCCTACCATGGACTACTTGACCTATTTAAATATGATGGGTCATTAGTATGTACATTTGTTTTTTATATAACTGAGTCATGAACTTTATTTTATTTTATTATTGTTAACCATAAAATTATATTTGTAAACCTTAGCGAAATTGAAATGATTATTTCCAACGTTTCGTTCGGGAATCTTGTTCATATGAACGGTTGTTAACCATGTTAGGTATAAAGCGGTTGTAAAGCATCTATGAAATGATATCATCTCGCGAAATTTGTCTTCTAAATGTCTTATTCGAATAATAATTATTATTGTCTCCTTTAGTTCTTAGAGAAACACAGGGCTTCAGCCCGACTTCTCCTTTGCGTTCGGCTCGCCGATAAGCTTTTCACCTAGCTACACGTCTGCCCACATACTTTCATCTTCTCCTCGCATGACCTCCTCCATGTCACCCTCGGACGAACAACTCACCGCTTCTCGTTCGGGTTCAACTCGGGCGATTGCCTGGTGTGTGATGTCACTTGATAGTCTTCTCAGAGTACGGCCAATCCACCTCCATTTCTTCCTGCATATTTGTTTCACAATCAGTTCCTACTGGGTTTGTTCGTTTCCAGAGATCTCTCCCGGTTGCTGATCTTTTCTGGCCAGCCATTTGATCTTGACTACTGAGTGGAGATAGCCGTTGATGAAGGTCTGCAGTTTGTTTGAAGCGCCCTTCGTGACGCTCCAAGTCTCTGATCCTTATAGTAGCATTGACTTCACATTGGAGTTGAAAATCCGGATCTTATTTTTCATGCTGAGGAGTGCCGTTGA